GCCGTTAAACGACACAAAGGCATAAATAGCTAAAAAAAAGAAAAATAATTTCTTGAAAAATGTTAGTAAAAAATACATATACACAACGAATATATATATATATTTTTTTAAATCGAAAATCGCACAATAATTCCCACTGTTGTTGGCAAATGAAGTGGCAAAGAAGCGAGTGAAAATTGACTTATGACACATGAATACTTTAATGGCATCGAAGTTGAAGCAAAATAAGTGACTTGCATGAAAATTTGTTATGCATCCCTTTGCGCTTTTGTCGCCCAAGTTGCAAAGTTTTACAAGCGGCAAGTTGTAAATTTAATAAAAGTTTCAAGAAACAGAAAACATGAAAATCAATTTAATTATGACAAAGTTGTACGGCAAAATGGAAGTGAAACACATTTCCCGAATGCTGTGTTTTAAGTTAAACTTAATCAAGCGTCTTCCATTTCCTTTGAATGTCACAAAAGTTGATATGCTCAAGGATGACATCTTTGAAGCGTCGACAGCGCCGGAAACAGCGTTCACAAGTGTATAGAAAATGGCAGTCATGAGTTGTATGAAGGGAACTTTTTATAGATAGTAATGACACTTGAGTTTGTTTAAGTGTGTATGTGTGTACGCAAATAAAAGTGAATATATGTAAAATTTTAAAGGAAATTTAAGCCGCTCAGTCTTCGAACAGTATACAAGTTTTATAGAGGAATCTTTTACGGCAAAAAAAAAAAAGAAAACGAGAGTGGGAAATAAATATTTAAGCTATTTATCTTTTCATCTCCAACTTACCGTTTGTATCCCATAAGAATTTAATTTATTTGAATTAATGGCAATTAAAAAGAAAATCCTGTTCAAATTTGAAATGATTTGAATTGATCGTAATCCAAAAATTCATAATACTTTATAATTTATACATTTTATGCTCCTGGATGTGTGCTCATTACATACTTTATAATGCAAAATAAGTTAATTTTAAATTAACAACCCATTAAAATACACATTAGCTTTCCTTTGTAACTCGATATTTCTCTTCCCCATACAGATGGAGCCGCACGAGCGCATTACAAAATCATCTACAGACACAGGTAGAGCAGCCAGAAATGCTCAGCAACAACCCAGCATCGCTATATCGATGTCAGGGAGCGGCGCTGCTTCACCCAGCAGCAGAACTAAACACGATGGCAACAATGCGAAGCGTCCACCCCCTCTGAAGGCAACCGTTGCCGCCAACACCGCCACCACTGCAGGCCCATTGACCGGCAGCGACACTGTTGGTCAGCCACAGCAACAACCGCAGCTTCAGCAGGTGGCAGCTGGTATGGCTGGCATTTTCAAGGGGACCACTACGCTTACCACACCCTCGACGCCGCGCATCGAACTGAGTCGCGCATCGTCGTCGTCGCATCACGAAGAGGATAGCCGGGAAAGCAGTCCGGAGAATGTGTTCGAGCAGGTGATGATAATGCGAGAATTGTAACTTATAAATGTAGTGTTTGTATGTAAATGTGCATAAGTGTGTGTGTGTGTGTGTGTGTGTGTGTGTAGCAAGAATACTAGGCCGGTAATAAGCACACAAATGCAGCTTTGTTTCGCAGTAGTGGCTTGTCTCGCTGTGCATTTGCTACTCTCCGATGGGCGGGGCGGTGTGCGGCTGTCCGCTGGCAGTTTTTGTTTTCAATCTTCCACTGGTGCTTGCAGTAATTATCGCCACATTTACTGCACACTTGCCCTCACTTGCTCGCTATCCGCTGCTCACATTCATGTCTAACTGCCATTATTGAATTTGGTTTCCTGTTGCCTTTGCCCATTCACATCGACTTTTTCATGCCTTCCACCTGCCAACATTCATTTAAACACCTTATTTTTATTGCTGTTATACTTGTTTTAGTCTTTAAAGTGCCATTTGCTGTATTTCTGTTTTGCTAAGCATTTTTTCCATACACTTTTTGCAGCCATTCACTATTCACTCGTCTGTCCTTCTGCTGGTCTCTTGACTTTTATGGGTTAATGAGTTCAACCGAAATGTGGAACAGCAGCGGTTGAAATCAGCGCAAAGCAAAGTAGGGCGGGGCGGAAGAAACTATGTCTATGAAGTGTGGGTGCGGTGCAAAGTGCATTTACACTGTGCGTCAAAAAACCCATAAAGTGGGTATAGTAAATCAGGCTAGCTTTGGCGATACGGCATACTTAAATTGGTGATGAATGCGAAAATCTGAAGTATAGTATTAAGGGAAAATCCAAGCGCCCGCGAAAGATGAGTGCGCTCACAATAAGCTTTGCTTGACCAAAATGAAGAAAAGTAGATCTTTTGTTCTCGCATAATTCGGCGTTCGTTTCAGGCCTACTTGCACTTGTATGTCTATCTATGTATCTAAAAATGTATCTTGGGCTGAAACCATACTTTCTACTCTTCACTTACTTCTCCGACTATTCGTTCGTTTGTTCTTAAATAAAGTGAACTGCATATTCCCTTGACAACTGAATCTTGGTTGGCACTTAGGCAGCAGCGATTTGAATGTTTCATGTAACAATTAATTTGACCCACTTTGCATGCAGACATACATATGTACATACATACACATACAGCCAGTTTTTAAACCAATGCCAAGCTTTAATAACTGCCAACAGCAAAAGCGGAACAACAATAACAACAACAGCTAACAACAAACTAAATTTCCGCTATGTGGAAAAACAGGATGACAAGCCATTATTGCTGGCCCTTGCCTCTTTTTTACTTATATTGTATTTTATGTTTTGTTGTATAGAGCAAGTTGAAGTTGCCACAGTGGTATCAAAGCCACTGCAACTTGTTGTATGCTTGGCTGTGCTACTGGCTGCTGCTTCCTCGTGCCACCAGCCACCAGCCACCAGCCAACAATTTCAGCTATTGTTTTTGGGCAATTGTTGAGCTGTGGGCTTTAATGAGAAAAATGTTTCAGCGTTGACGTTGCAACCGCATACACACACGCCTACATCATCTACTCGCATTGAACACAATGCCTGAGCGACTGCTTGCTGCATGCCATCGACAAACGAACGAACGGACGGACGGTTGTGCCGTGTGCTTGCTTTTAGTGCCTGTTGCTGCACCCGCACTCGAAATTAGTAGCAAATATACACCGCAACGCACAACAGGCGAGTGCAGCAAATGTAAGGAAGCAACAAAAGTCTCTGTTACGGAAATGCCTTTTTCGAGAAAACGCTGATTTTTTTTTACCAAAAACCAGTGGAAAGTTGAAAGTGCATGACCCACTTAACCGGCAGTCACTGCTGAGGTTTACTTAACAGTTATGAAAATTTGCAGTACTGAAGCGTAAATCCGAGCACCAGAAGCAAAAGTTATTGAATTTACTGAAAGGTTGTCAGAGGAAAGTTGAAAGTTTCATTGAGCACTGCTTATTCCCTGCACTGGACAGCAGAACTAAGTCGATAAGTTTATATAAGAAATGTGTATGTGTGCATATATATTCTTAGAGGACCCAAACTCTTGCAGCATTTTGCTATTTTGCACATTATAGCCCACAAGTGCACTTGCCTTGCGAATAGGCACTGAGATGTCTGCTTATTAGCCAAATGTGACTTCATTAATTAAATTAACTTAATTTGCTTACGACGCCATCAAAAGTTGCCGAAACACCCCTTCGTTTGACATGTTCCTACACACTCGCATCAACTCGTGGCTATAGAATGTACGCACATACGCACACCTTCATTCTCTCTCCCCCAAACTTTGCATGTCCTCTCTTATTGCTCGTCGCATTCCTTTGCTTCACTGATTGCGATTGCATTCCCCGCTCGCTTTCGGCCCACCACTGTCCATGCACACTGCAACTAAATCCAACTGTCACACATCTGTCAGAACGCAGCTGATAATTTTGTAACGTCGCACGGGATTAGCTATTATTTTTTTGTGTAGTTGTAGTTGTTGCTTTTGTAATTGTTGTTTAGCATTTAATGTATGCACGTACACTGATGTACATTAAGTCACACACAAAAAACTTACAAACATTTCTACATACAGTATCGGTCATATCAATAGGACTCCCATTGCAAAGGTGATATTGTTTGCCGCTTATGTTTATTTATTTATTTTTAAGAATTTTCAATTAAAATACAGTTCATTCTCTAACAAGACCCATATAAACCCAAGTTTAAAACTTTGTAGAAAACTAAAAAGTTTCAAAAAAATTTGCATCCAAATTTCAAACTTATTTCTCAGGAGTGCTAGAATTTTGTATATAGACCACTAAATTTTAGTGTCAATGACATGAAAAAAGCACCTAAAATTTACCGTTGATTTTTTAGAATTTTTTTCTTGTCGCATTTGCTTCCATATAACGAATAAACCCAATTTATTTTTATATGGAAGAAAGCTGCAACACCTTCGGCAAAAAAAATAAACATAAGTGGCAAACAATATCACTTTGAGGTGGGGGTGCTATTGATATGACCAATACTGTATTTACATTAGCACTTCCATCACATGCAAAAACACATACATACATACGCTCGCGTGTGCTTAAACCTTGTACAAGTATGCGTTTATAAATAAATCAGCAAATGCACATACACAAGTTCATACATACATATATGCATTTGATGTATGTGTATATGTACATATGTAAATAACTTTCGACACTGACACATGAAAAGTAAATTTTCTTTTTGCTTTTCTCTTTTTCTTCTTCCCCGTACACTTCTTCTGTACATCCCTTTTATCGAATATATGTATGTATTTATACACGTCCTTCACACGCCTTGTTTTATTCGCAAATTGGTTCATGTCCTTTTTTTATGTCCCCCCTTCTCCCCCTCTAACCACTCCACCGCTACACGCTCCTTTTTCGTTGCATACTTTTTTGTTGGCTCCGCTATGTGAATAACGCCATTAAATTTCACGGCATCCTGGGTTATAAACTACACGCGCTTTTGTTTCGGTTTCGTCAAAATTGATGTTTTTGTTTTGTTGGAAAATTTTTGAAATGAAAATGATAATCAAATGAAGGTTGGCACTGGCACCCTACAGGAAACGATCGGTGTGGGCTTTCGCGAAGAGGGCGCCCTGGAGTTGCGCAGCTCAACGGAGGAATTGTACTTTATGGACCCGGAACAGAAGAAGGAGGAGCAAGAGAAACTGCAACAACAGGTAAGTAAAAACGAACTAATGAACGAATTGTCGTTGTAAAGAGTTGATAAAAAAATGTAGTGATATTTTGGTGAACCATTGCGATTTTTAAAGACTGAGTTGTTAATAATTTTGAGGTTAGAATGAGCCCCACGGAAGTTTTCTGCTCTGAAAATCAACTGACAATTTTTACTTGAGGTCACAGGCACTACAAAACTTTAACAGCTGTCAGTTTACAGTGTTGATAAAGTTAAAGCCACAAAGAATTCTGGATTAGAACAATGTTGAATTGTAAGCGAACTGTTTGAAAAACAAATCCGATCAAAAATATGCATAAAAACGATATCGAATTTTATCGACAATATGTACGTCACTAATAAATTATGACAGCCGACTCTGATAACGATCGTCGATTGCACTGTAGGGACGCTAAAATGATACAAATAAACACCGAAACTCGTAAAATTAATTTTAGGTCGTATATTACGGATCTGTATATCGTTTTTCTAGATCAGGAAATTTTCTCAAGATATTTTAATTTAGAGTTTGCATTGCGAATGAAAAAAATTCAAACTTTAACATGGAAAATGTCAATCATACGCCATGTACGGGTACCCACTCATCTGAATGAGTCGTTTTCTTATCGCTTCAAGCGATATTTGGAATCATTTTATTCTTTTTAATAATTCATTTATTTTTTGTATACAAAATTGGAACTTAGAAATGGAATTAATTCTTTCTTTCGCTATGGAGCTTCCTATTTTTTCTATGCTGCCTTTGGTATATATTAGACGCTTTTGAATAATACTGTTGAAGCGAAATGTTGCCGATTTGTCACTACGGCAATAAATCGGTGAGTTGCCAATTTGTTGCCATTGACGACTGTTGCCTATTTCTCATGTTCTGCATGGTGGGTAGGGCCATGAACGATATGGCGTATGAGGAACATTATTTTGTGCTTTTGTTTCATACAAAAATTACGCTGATGCACAAAAATGATCTTAATAAAAGTTAAATGAAATTGAAAGGGTTATTTTGTATCTACAACTAACCTGTAGTTAATAAACAATATTAAAATAATTCAGCCACCCTCATTTTTTTTTTGCAACAGCATTTAAATAAAATTTAATTAAATACTCTTGAAAACTGTATTAAATTTAAAAAAAAAATAATAGTAATAATTGGCCTAAATATCCTTCTCAATCGTGATTTACGTCTTGGATTTGTCAAATAAATGGAGGCAAATACGAGGAACTATTTCATGGCTGAAGTACACTCGGAGGTTTACCATTGCCGGCCGGAGGTTGAACGCTTTAGAAAAACAAAACTCATTTGGATGTTGCTCGAATTAGGGGCATCGAAACTGGGACTAACCGAGTGGTGGTAGTACGCACGTTTAAAATCGATTTGAGTTCATTTAAGTGGGGCGGCAACTTTGGCAACAAAATTTATAATAAAAGCAATAACCAGCAGCAAGAACGCAATCGTCTTTCAGATCATTCTCTGGCACGGCATGGCGCAAAATACATACAATACATATATGTACTCGTACACTGTAGCCAAATAGTACTTATACCCAACACATAATGAATATAACCGCAATATTCATTCTACCAGCCACAACTGGGACACGGCATACATTCGAGTATTACGGCATCAATTGAAGGACCGAAAATGTTGCAGCAAGTGAAACTGAGCAGCAGCAATGTCTGTATCGAAATTGGTGCCGTGCATGTCCTGGAAACAGTTGGTCCACTTTGCTCTGCACTACCACGCGTTTTGAGTTTGGCAAGCGATACAATTGAAAAATCAAACCGCTTCGAAGCTTTCATGCATTCGCTTTGCAATATTTGCTTTGCTTAACAAAACATTGCGGATATTGCAGGCAAACGCTCACACATCGCTGTGTACCTTTGTTCTCTTTCCTTCCCTTGCCACCTCCGACGACCAAGTGTAGGTGGTGGCGAAATGTATTTAGGTTAGCCTTTCTGTAAATGCCATGGATTGGTACGCCTTCGAACACGAAGTCATTAATTTTGTGAGTTTTTATTGTACGGCTACGCTGCTGCTCTGCACATGTAGTTGTTGTTGTTGTTGCCACCACATTTGCTTGGGTCACATTGGAAAACTCTAATATGTATGTACTCGTACAAATGATTTACCCATTTCATGTGACCACAAAAACAGCAAATTTGTTGTTAAAACGTTCACACATATGTACTTACAAAGTATGTACATTAGGATGGTCCAAAAATGCATGTAAAAAAGTAAAGTCGAAATTTTTATGCTCTCACCCCCTAGGATTGTTCTATATCGAAAGAAGTATACCCCTATTTTTTATTTTGAAATCAAAAAATATTTAGAAGTCGCTCAAAGTTTCCCATACAAAATACATGGAAAAGTTGGAGCGCTTTGAGCGACCTCTAAATATTTTTTGATTTCAAAATAAAAATATGCGGGTATACTCTTTTCGATATAGAACAATCCTAGGGGGTGAGAGCATTAAAATTCCGACATTACTTATTTTGGACCACCCTAATATACATACGTATGCATGTATGTAAGTATATGTGTCCTTTATATGTAGAAATGTAAAAAATGGGCGCTGAAAGTTGGAAGAGAGGTTTTTCTGAAACTGTGTCGCCCATATCACTGAAACTGCAAAATTTAAAGGCAACAATTGCGGGGCAAATGAATTGAGCAACTGTTGAAGAGGAAAAGGTGAACTTACTGGCAACTTAAAGTCGCACGAAAATACACTGCTTTAAAAGAGGCAGGGGTTTTTATACAAAGATATGTAAATGTTTACACCCAGCCAGTTGTAAAAAAGTTAGTGAAATATTTTGCCGTTAAATACAGGTTATGTGCTGGAAGAGGTTAAAGCAGAAGTTTTGAAACGATAAGTCCTTATGACGTCGTAGTTTATGATTTTGTCGCTGTAGAAACGTTGCCGGTGCAGCTTAATCCGTTCGGCGATTTCACCAAAGCTTCCGAAATAAGAGCATTAAAATCAACGTACTACTGCTCCAGCCGAAGCAGACACAATACAGATTTCCATAAATAAATCTTTCCTCGCTGATTCTGTTCGGCGTCAGTCCTGCCATGGCATATTGTTTGCAATGTAATTGAATAAGCCAACAATCCTTTTCTTCGCTTTTCATCCACTTATCACGGCAGTCATTGCGCCTCCTCCCATCCACAATAGCTGTCGGTATGCACATACACACATACATACTTATGTACATATCATTCCATTATAACGCGCATCCGACCTTGCCCATCATTCATTGGCTGGTATGCGCGGCAATCTACCTACGCTCATCGAGAATCAGTTATGGCGCATATCGGCAGTCTGTTATTTAGCCCGTTCGTCACTGTTGCCTTTGACGTTGTCGTCTGTGACAATTGAAATTCAATTATGAGCGCTCATCGCTTCAGTTCGCAGGCTTCGACGAATGCAGCCTCATAGTTTGAATGTATTTTATAATTTTCAACGAATCTTCGAAGGATTCTGCGAGGTAGGAGTTGCATATACATATGCACATAGCTGTATTATGATTGACAGCAGCCCTTCCCTTTAATTACGTTATAAATTTCAGTTTCTTTGGTTTTTTCGCAAAGTTGCCGGCTTTCAATTTATTTCCCTTGTAATCTGCGTTTCATTTACTGATTACTGTACACCTATTTTATTCCATATATTTCAGCAAGCGAAGCGCTCCTCGCCACACATATTTAAATTTGACGATCATCAGAGCTACTTGCAGCAGCATCAGCGCAAGGATTCCGCAAGCTCCGAGGTCGCTGCATTGCTTTGCATTTCCGGACGCACAAGTCGCATTTCAAGCGTCGGCAGTCAGGGTTCGGCCGTGAGTCGTCTGTCGGCCGTATCGGGTGTTTCGCGTTCACCCTCTCCACATCGAATGCTTTTGGAGACATCATTTTGTGGTCCCAAGCCACTGGAAAATGTAGTGGACGGTCGCGTTTCAACTACTATTGAGCCAGCAACGGCTGAATTACTCGAACAGGTGTTACTGGCGCGTAAGCACGACCCCACTCAGGCAGTGTTGGCAGAAGGCATCACCGTGGAGAGTTCACCAAAGAAGAAGCCCACAACGCTGTCAAACGGTGAGGCCAAGCCCCCATTGAAAAGTACTAAGAGATCTGAGCGACCTAGCGCTGTTGGTATTGTTGGCGCTGGTGCTGGTGGTGTTGGGAAGCCCACTATGGGTGCTCAACGTCGAAGCACCAAAAGCCCTGGGCAGATGGTAATCGGAAAGACGCCCGGTGGCACAGAGTATATACGCATAAACCTGAAACCCGACCACATGTACGACGACAGGGGTATTGCACCGCATGAGAAAGTTGTCGAGGCGCCAAACAGTATCGCTCCGCTTTACTCACGCAGCCAGAAGAAACCTGCTTCGCTCAGCTTAGGCCGCACTGCCGTGGATGAGAACCGTCTGACACCTACGGCTAGCCCCAAGCCCACGCGTCATGGCATTCTGGCGAAGGACACGCACGGTAGCCGCTCTCCTTCTCCTGCCAATGTGCCCGTTTCACGAAAAAGTTCATTTAGTTCAATATTTCGCCTTGGCGGCAAGGATTCGCCTGACTCGCCCCGCGAACGTTCACGTTCACGTAGCAAAAGTAAAGAACGCCAAACTCCGCAGTCACAAAATGTTACGCCAAGCAAACAGAAATCCGTTTTAGCGATTTTTAAGCCTGGCAAACGTGGTAGCAACGCAGGCGCTGATGCAAAATCTTCGAAGAGTTCCTCGCCCATTGATGGACATGAGCTACAGCAACAGGCGCAGCAAACACGCAGCAAGTCGCATACGCCATCATCAACGAGTGGTGGTTCTCGGCCCGCTAGTAGGTTACGTTATTACGATGAGCCCGTAGAAGGCGTAATACACATACCGCTTCATACTCCGCCTGAGGAAAAGGAGGCGCGAAAATTATTGCACGGCATACAACAATTAAATGCGGAGCCGACGCGCCCAGTTCCAACAGCTATAACGGCTAGCCAGCTGGCCGCGGCCGCTGCAGCTTTGAAGCCTGTGGGGGCCCGGAAGAGTTCGGGAAGTGGATCATCGGGCAGTGGTCAATCGCAGCCGAGGTCTCAGCAAGTGGATAAGTTGCAGCGCATTGAGAATCTCGACGCCATACATACGCTGTCGCAAGATGATGACAATAAAGAGCGCACATGGAGTCTGGAGGTGAACAAACATAGTTCCCAGGATTCGCAAGAAACTGCCGGTTCAGAGATAAGCTATGCTAGCGCTATCAAGGTCAATCTTCGTTCGAATCTGGCAAATGTTAAGGAAAATGTGGTGCAGGAAAATGGTGTGGCAGCGGAGGCGGAAATTCATCGATTGCCTTCAGTGGATAGCGGTGGGGAGGTGAAGGTCGTTGAGACGGTGGCGATGGTCAACGTGAATATCACACAAATTCAGCCCGAAACTGAACATACAAAAGAAAAACGTCGATTGCTCTTTACGACACGCCTCGGCTCTGGCAGTCAGGACCCAATTTTTTCCACACAATTTAGTATTTCAAAGACTGAAAGTCAGTCGAGCCAGTTGTCTGAGCAAATACAGGAAACAATAGCCGAGAGTCCTGTGTCGGAGACCCTGCGCAGACAGGGCACTGTAATACGCCGTTCAGAAGAGGAAGTGGAAGCCAGTGCTCCTGCACAAGTGGCAGAACCCAAAGAGCCAATGAAAATGCCACCGAAACGGCGAAGCTCTACCGAAACCTCAACTCGTCGCCAGAAATCGATTTCTACTTCTGAGGACGAGAAACACATTGTACAAACAACAGTTACTGCAGTTGTTATGCGACGCAAGGAATCACATGAGGAGCCGAGGCGAAAATCGCGCTCCACGTCAGAAGACGACGCGGATGCTGGTGGCGGTGTTTTGAATCAACGCCATTCCCGGTATCTGGAAAACTTTGATGTGCGGAAAAAATACCACGAAAATGTACCCCGAAAGCCGAAACGGCAAAGCTTTTCCGAAACCAAACGCGGCGAGGGCGTAGAAGAGACGATTTTAATTGCTGCAGAGCAACATGAAGATCAAAAACCACCAAAACAGCAACAACGTAAGCCAACACTGCCTCAGCCGCCACCTCCATCTACAGCGCCCTCACCTTCGCCACCTCCAATTGCTGCTTCCGCTTCTGGGAGCCGTTCGCCAACGCCAACGACACATCCACCACGCTCGCAATCTCAATCACCTGTAGATCGTTCCGGAAAACACACACCCGTCAAACCTCCACGAACCTCAACACCCCCTCGTCGTTCACATGCCGCAACCGAAAGACAATCAATGCCCTCGACCGACGAACCAATTGAGTCATCCGAAAGTGAAAGAGACTCAGACTTAGCAGGCGGCAGCTCTGCGTTAGCCGACCCCAAGCGGCGGCACTTGCCGCGTCATGTCGGCGCTATCGAAGATCACGAGAGTACAGGACTCGTTTCGCAAGAGTCCTTCGACGAGCTTCCCTATGTGCCCACTACACTACCCGAGGAGCGAGCGCAAGGCGTCCCACTCATTCCTATGAAAGATCGGGCCAACATGGAATTGAAAACATGCCCTGTGGAGCGTCCACGCTCAACTACGCCACTAAATCCTTCCCACTTAGAGGAATATTGCGGCATAGTTACACCTCAGGAGCC